AACATTAAGATATTTGGGAACTGCTTCCATGTTACAAGTCATTGCTGATTTTTATATAATCAATAAGGAGACAGCAAGTAGAATGAATGTATTGGCAATTTTAAGACCACAATTTAATAATATGCCAGGTAGGTACTACAGAATAAATCATGACAAGGGTTATACTACAATATTGCAAGATTTTCACTTTGCATTATACTGAACCCACATAAGAATTAAAGTAATAAATTCAGTATTTTTTTAATTACGATTTTCCTCTTAATTTTATTTGTTTCTAATGTTATATTTATCATTCTTGGCCAGTTAAAAAAAAGCGCCACAAACTTAGGTTGTGATTAAAATTATTTTAATTTTACATTTTAGTCTCCTGAAAGATTAGAAGCCGAAAATTACAGAAATAAGAAAATATTTTTTATATATTTAATTTTTTAATAAAGTTTATTCCAAATAAAACAAATTATTTTTCAAAGAAGGTATATTGTATTACTAATTAATAAATATTGTAAAAGAACAATAAATAATTTTGTTTCAAAATAGTTGACATTCTAGCTTCATGCTCTAAATGCATATGTTGGGTCTTATGCATGCTCTAAATGCATATGTTGGGTCTTGTGCATGTGTTGGATTTTTTGCAATAGACAAAATATATTGCAAGAATATACTCATTTTAGGAATACTTTAATTTAGTAAACAATTATATTTGGTACTCATGAATAAAATACCCATTGTAAATACTCTCAAACTTTCTTTCAAATGGTAAAATATACTCACACTTTTCACTTTCATTTTAATTTTCTAAATTTGCTTCAGAGTAATCAATATAGCAAATACATCAATGTCTGAAAAAATATAAATATTTTGCAACGTTCTTAATTATTATTAATTGTTGCTATACATCACAGAAATAATAGTTGATTAAAAGTTACAGTGTCTGCTACACGGGGATTTTTCAATTAGAGGCACATTCCTATATTGAAGGCAACTATAACTGAATAATACTTGCATTCTTTAGTATTAACAGCAATTTCCACATCAACATTATCCTCCTGATATATTTCAATGTTAGTATATCTAGAAAAAAATACTGATATATTGACAAATTACTATAAAACACAAATATTAATTACGACACTTTTTCTTTATGAATTCATGTTTTTTGGAAAAACTGCACAGAAATATTTAAATAGGTATAGGGTGTTTCATTAATATGTGTAAATATTCTAACAGGAAATTTTTGATCTTAAAATATGAAGATTTAACCCAAATTACTTAGTCAAAATATTGTTCGTTACTGAGTTTATTTATATATTTATTTAAAATATGAAAAATAAATTTTTCAATCCGAATCTTGCAAGGAAAATTCTCTTAGATTTCCAATCGTTGTGGTATAATCGGGCACTTTTTCCGGTGTCGGTGACATTGTTTTTTTTTTTCTTCTGCACTGTACACTTATTATACATACTTCTAAGGGGCTATTTTCAAAGTATGGGAGCACTCATTTCTCTCAAGATTCTTACCAGAAATGTCATATGTCAATGTGGAAAGGCTGTTTTTAAAGGCCTCGAGAATTAAAACTCTTAGGAAAATTTTAACTATCTCTAAATAAACCGAGAAAAACAGTCAGTGAATTCACACTGGCCCTAAAAGCTATAAAAATACTGTTTTACGTTGACGTATAACATTTCTCTCAAGAAAAATGAATTCTCTCGAGTTTGAAAATAGCCCCCTTGGTGGTGCGAAGGGTTCGTATTTACTCGTCCCCACGTTATAATGTATTTAGAGGTTCCAGTTGAATAACAACACTCATTCGCAAGTTACTATTTAGTTCGAACAGGAACGTACATTTTAAATCCCCGGTACAAGTGATACAACGGCTAACAGCAGGACGAAACCGTTACAAAATGTGTAAGATGAACTGCACACGCCACCACCTAGTGTCGCAGGATTCGAACTGTGTCGTATACCCAGTAATACCAACTTAGTTATACTGTTAAGCCCTGGTTATACTACAATTTTATTAATTTCAATTGTGAACTGTACCTATCTAATGACAATAGACATCGACATAAACAATACTAATATGAACAATAAATAATATTAAAATCAAAATAATTGTGCAGCCTCCAGTGGTAGAGAATGTAGGAAAATAAAATTCTTCCTGTACCCCAGTGATAGCAAGAAACTTTTTATTGCTATATAATTTGATATGTCTCAAACTTCGCTTGATTATTACCAAATATCACAAAGAAATGTCTGGCAATATTAAAATTATTATTAAAATTAATTTTTAAATATTAAAATAACTAACTCGATAAGGAGCAATATTTAATCTAAGTGATTGAGTTAAATCTTCATATATTTCGAATTTAAAATTATTCAGTTAGAAAATATTTACATATATTATTGAAATATCCTGTGCATTCCATTTGATACAATATTATGAATCTTATTACAACAAAAATAGTTTCTTTGTATAGTAGGTATAGTTCCGTACTGTTTCTCTATTCGCTCCGTGCGCGACAGCACCGCCAATTTGTTTTGGTATTAAATGACTATTTCTGCATATACTGACAAATACAATTTTTAATAGAATTCGTAAATAAAAAGTATATATGTTAGTTTTAATAAAAGTATATGGACTTGTAAAACAAGTAAAACATTAATTTATTGTTATTATATATTTTTCCCGCTTAAATTAAATAAAATTATGTATAATCAATAGAAAACAATTAGGCATTCCAACGACCTGTCAAACAATAGGTGCCAGTGGGAAATTCTTGTATATCTAAGGGGGTAGCGACATAATCTTGCAACTTGGACGCTATTTTTATTCGAAGTAGCTATTGCCAAGCCTACCAATTTATGAAGAAATGTATAGGTGGGTTTTTTAAATAATATTTTTATTGTGTTTGACATAAAATATTTAAATGTTATCCATTATTCATGATTTTACATAAAGTAGATAGAATATACCGTATGTCGCCACCCTTAGATATACCAAACCTTCACACTGGCAATTCATTTGTTTGGAATGCCTAATAATAAAATATAGGCGAGCAACAGTATTTACTGGAAAATATATGAGAAGTTGCCTAAGTCTAATAAGTTGTCATTGAAGAATTAGCCATTTTGTCAAAATAAAAAAATACCATTTAATAATAGCGTGTGAAGTTAAAATGTATAAAAAAGGATCGTTATTTATATTTTCATTTTTGTTTGAAAGAAAACATAGACTTAATGATTAAAACTGGTTTCCCATCAGTAAGTCACAAAATTGCATTCCAGCCACATATTATAATTAAAGGCAGAAATTTTAAATTTAGTCCTTGCTGAATAAACATTTAAGAATAAAGGTATATTAAAGAACATCGTAAAATGATAATTTATTGTTTATTTAAAACCTTTCAAGATTCTGATGTCTACTATTTCCAGCATTACTGTTATTATCACAAAAATAAAGGTAATTTTTCTTCTTATTGTACACCTATCTATTTATTTCTTTGATTTAATTTCCACTTTGCTAGTGAAATTTTTTATATAAGTTTCACTGTTTTTTTTTTTGCTAGTATTTGTACAATTTTTAACACAGCAACTCTGGTTGCTTATTGTGTTGTTTTTACCTTTTTTTGAAAAAAAAGTAAAATGTATACGTATATTTGATATGCCAAAATTACAAAATATCGCCCTAAAATGCACGCTAGTATCGCTTTTGCTTCCCTTTCCATGACTTCGCACAGAGCGAATAGAACGTTATAAAAATCCATTTAAATTTTAGAATTAAGTAACTCAGATAAATTAATTAGACCTAGGCTAGACTTGTACTACTGTATTATTTTTAAACTTGATTTTAATATACATATTTATAAAAATAATGTAGTTGAGCTAGTACGTATCTGTCAAATAATGTACTTACCAATGTTAAGTTACTCAGGTGTAATTCCTTTATTATTACAGCACAGAACGGTATAATAGGGCATTATAAAAATATCTAACAATGTAATTAACACACTAAAAATTGTAATCGTGCCAAATATTGTTTTTAAATGAATAAAATTAGCATTTATTTTCGAATTACTTTCACGAATGACAATTGACATGTCTGACAGATGCTCACTGCGCAAACTCAAACCTCAATTTTGAATCTCATTATCGGAACGTAAATTTTGAGCGAGAATTGACACCAAATCCATTTTCCTAATTTCAGTTCTGTGTCGCAAGTACTCATTAATCAGAATCGGTTTAGCAAAAATGTATTTCCAAACCAACTTTCAGCCTTTAAATATAGTAAAAAAATAATTACCTACATTTTTACTTCAATGCATTAGCTTGTGTTTATTTTGAAAAACATGGATGATTAATCTATATTACTATCTCTTTCATTAACCTTGTCAAATAACCAAGCCTACAAGGTTGCCTGTCAAAACCCACTGGTAGCCATTTTGTTTGGAATGTCTAATACATAAATGTCAAAACATCAATAATCGACTACCTACATACTAGAAAAATGGATTACAAAACAGAAAATAGTGAAAAATAAAATCTTGTATTTATGATAACGGCCATCAGGCAACATCCACCCCTCTATCATGTCGCTTTCCGGGAGATAGAGATATCCAGACATTACTTGTGGAGTTGTATACATATTTTTTGGTTATTGGTTTGATATTTCGTACCAAAAATGTTCAATTACTGTTTTCCATTCCCTATTGCTCGCCCTGTATAAGTGTAAAATATAACCTAAATAAAACTAACTACTGTCTACCACTACTTACTCTCCATTCCAAACTACATAAGCTCCAACCAGGAAGAACCAAAAAAAAAGGGAAAACAAAAAGCCTCGAAGCAAAGCAAATAATAAAAAATAAGCGTCACTTACTGCACGTGTCCCTAATAGAGGGGCCCTGAGCGAAACTAAATAAAAATTGGCAGCCACAGTCCTAAGATTGGTTGTCGCGCCTGAAGAAACTCCATATAATGCTTGTGGTTGTTTTCGTTCGTACCTTTTCACTCATAGATGTATCCTTTTTTATCGGTGTACTGGTAGCAGTCTTCTTCATCGTCACGCTTCTGGCGAACGTATTGGACCCGTTGGTGCTCAGCTTTTGGAACGAATCGCTGGAACGCAGCTTCCCGGAGAGGGAATCTTTCGTAGTCACTAAAGAATTATTCCTGGACTTAGGCAGGGAATTATTGGCTTTGGAACCGTTGAGGCTGTTACCCTCGCTCTTATTGTTCCTCCAAGACTGTGCAGAATTAGGTCTACCGGGTGAATCGCCGCTACGGCTACGTGTGCCTGGTGCCGGACTGTGTTTACCTATGAATATTTATGTAAATGTAAATGACGATTCAGTGAAACTACGATGATTGTGTAGTGCATGCAGTTAAAAATTACGGTAAAATAAGTTTTATACAGACTAGATTAAACATTAAACAGAGTTTTTAACACCATGAAAAAATTTCATCGTTGTAGTTCTAGTTAGAAGTTTTATAAAGACAGAAATTATTCCTAGAAACCATAGAACCAATATATTCAAAGTGAATGCTCCAGAAGATTGGGCAACAAGTAGAAAATATAAATATACATACTGTAACGCTTGGAACCGTTATTTCGTTATTTCGACACAATCGCCTCTTACTCAAATGTCATTTGTCGTCTATGCTTTGTGTCAGAGGAAGTGAGATTTTTATTTGATTTGACTGACACCAACGATCACTTTGATTTTATTTTAATTTGGGACATCCGAAGTATTAAATTATATTTAATTATGTTAATGACCGTCTGATTTTATAAGGTAGGTTTTGTTAATAATATGTTATTCAATATATATTTTTTTTCGATGATTTCTTGAGCGATTGTCAAATTTTATACATAACCTCTATATCAGCATTTAATTGGGACATTTGTATTCCCAAGAAGGTTAACGGGAGAACTATATTTTGAATTTTTTTAAAACAATTTTCAAGTACTTTTAGAAGATTTAACTTTGGCAATACGACGTGATATGTGTTTCATCTATGATGGCGTACCACCACATTTTAGTCGAGTAGTAAAAAAAATAATATATAATTTTATATAAGCTAACACACGTGTCATTCATTTCTGATATAGAGGTTATGTATAAAATTTGACAATCGCTCAAGAAATCATCGAACAAAAATATATTGTTGGCTTTTTTCTTCTCAGGGCTTTAGCCAAATTTAGGTTCTCGTCAAGATGATTTAGGGTAAGGCCATTAAGGGTGATAATTAGAGAATACGGCACTTCAAAAATAAAATAGAAATGTATTAACACAAAGGAATATAACAATAACATTAAAAAAATTAGTTCTTATGGACTCCACCTCGACTTCTCACGCTTCCGATCGTTCACTCTCTTTTCTTTCTTCCTCAACTGACATTTCAGTCGTACCAACTTCTTAAAAAAACAATATAGGTAACCTAATAAACAATATATTGAATAACATATTATTAACAAAACGTACCTTATAAAATGAGACGGTCATTAACATAATTAAATATAATTTAATACTTCGGATGACCCAAATTAAAATAAAATCAAAGTGATCGTCGATGTCAGTCAGATCAAATAAAAATGTCACTTCCTCCCACACAAGGCATAGACGACAAATGGCATTAGAGTAAGAGGTGATTGTGTCGAAATAACGGTTCCAACTGTTACAATACATGTATCTTATATAGATCAGGAAAAAGTGTTCAAAAAATTCAACTGGAACAATTATACGAGTATATCTTAGACGAGGCTTTATTTGAAGTCTTGCATTAACTATTCTCCTTAATTTTGAATAAAGTAATAAGACTGAAAAGGTAGAAATATCGGTGCAGTGATATGCTGATGATATGATCATACAAAAGGACAAACAAAATATAGCATCAGAAAGAAGATGAAGACACGCACTTACTTTCGATGAATGACAATGTACTAACTGCAGTGATAAATAAATGATGATACATGATGACTATCATGAAGCTGAAGCTAGCAGACAAATTCCTCGACGGTCCCTTAAAGTTTCTATATTGTTATTCGGCAAAATCTTTTATTTTGGTGGACTTTGTTATTTATCATGAAAATTTAGAAATAAATAAAAATTAAGTGTATTTATTGAAAAAAAAAATTGATTTATTCAATTTAAATAATTAGTTAAAACAAGATTATCTTACAGAAAGACGAGAATGAAACAGACACATTTACGATGTAATTTTAAATATAATTTTTATACCAAATATTCATTAAATATTCAATAAAAAAATCATTAAATACCAAGACATCTAAATAAAGTTTTTAAAGTCAAACGTTTCCGCGGATAAATATTACTCTATCAAACTAACAAAAACAATTATTTAACACGAGATTTGTTGTTGTAACAATCAAAATTATATATTTATGTTGGTACTGCAACGTTTTTAGATCCTTTTTAGTCTTAACAGTTAGTAACACTGTAAGTTTGACAGTTTGTCACTAGTATCTAAGTATAGATCCGTTGATCATTCGAAATTCGCTGTTCATAATTATTATTGTAATTGCAAATAGTTAATCATTATAATCTTTACTTTTTCACTCAGTGTTTTATTACTACCACCAGCTTCCACCACAAGATTCCAAATGTAATTTTTATACCAAAGATTCAATAAACAAGTATATCTCTAAATACATTCTTTAGGTCTTTAAAAATGCGCGGGTTCGCGGAAAAACATTATTTGATATACACACAACCAAACTTATATAGAATCACTCTGTATTTCTGAATAAACTGTAAGGAAAACATTTGGTATCCGACTTTAAGGCTTTTTGTTCTAAACAAACATGATAATAAAGAAAAAACGACTGCTGAGTTATATATTATGAACATAATAGACTCTTTTATGTTATAATTAGATTATCTTTGTTTAATTATCATTTTTAGTTTACAAATAGGAGTAAAACTTTATTATTATTGTTGTTGTTATTTGAGGTAGCTTTAGTGTAGGCTTTAGTCCAGAGTTGCCTTAAATATCCATTTAAATGTATTTTTACTAAATAAATTTTTTTTAAATAAAATTCCGTTTTTGAATTTATAACTGGCGCAGTCAGTAGGATTACACGGGAGTTTAATCGAATTCGCTGTTGCTGAATATTAACTTTTCGTGACTTTGGAGTTTTAATTCCTTAAGTGTGGTTCCTAACGAAGCATTGGTGGACGTCATCCCTTTTGTGGCGACAGTCTAACCTCCTCGTAGAAGAATCGACGATTGGACATCATCCCATAGAAAACTGAAGAAAATAGTAAGTGCCAAATATCCTTTAATTTCCCTTTCCTATAATTTAGAGGTATTAAAAAGATTGTACTATTATATAATTTTGAAACTATTCTATATTTTATTTTGAAAATATTTTATGAGTGAATCAGAAATTGATACGTTGTTTAAGCAATTTGCAAACATCGTTAAAAGATAATAAATCAAATAGTGTAAGAAGTAATTTAATCATGATACATACACCTCTACAGTAGTTCAAAGACAAGTGAATTTGAACCGTTTTTAAATCCAAAATAGATAATATAAAAATTTATAAATAGATGCGAAAGTTTAATTGATACTTATAGAACATTTAATGACCCAGAATTGGATGCACATATAATAGAATGTATTCAAGAAAAATTAGTAGGAAAAGCTGAGATAATGGTAGGAAACAGAACTGAAATTAATTCTTGGATATGTTTAAAAAATGATTTGTTACAATGTTTCTCTGATCGAAGAGATTTAGATTGCTTAGTGCAGGAATTGACATGTGTTAAACCCCTAATAGGTGAACATTTAATAAATTTTACGAGTAGATTATAGTAGTTAAGAAGTAGTGTTATTCAGCGAATAAGTAATGATCCAATGGAAAAACAAAGAGAGACGTTAAAATGGTAATTCCCACCTTATCGGGACTGAGGCCCACAAGGGTAAACTCGTAGCGAAAAAAAAAAAAAACGAGAAATGATTTAACTTGGAACGAAAGACCGAAACCGATAGTAGTATTAGGACGTTGAATTTTTTGGTTTGTGAAGCATTGGCATTACTTAGATTAAACCATGTGATGATTTTCACAAGCTTTGATTTTTAAAACCATTCTATATCGCCTTTTAATTAGGATTTACAAACTTGTTCGAGCAATTTATCCAATAATAATTGGCCCCTTTACCTCTTAAGCCTGCTCATGCAAAATATTTGGGCTCCTTACTTCGTCTATTTATATAATATTTATAAAGGACAGAAGGATGAGTATTGCAACTATTAGCCCAATCGGATTAGGTGAAGAACAGGCTTGAGATTCTGAAAAATTCGAAGCAGCAATTTTCCTTCGGAATTCGTTGGAGGGGGTCTGTGGTAGTCTAAATTCAAAAAGTTGGGATTCCAAAGTTGTCGTTACCTCCGCCAGCTTGATTTAAAGGGTTATTTTTTGTATCTTGAATAACTCATTTATTTTCAATTTTACACGGAAAATAGTTTTTACAAAAGTTATTTATAATTAAATTTCCTACAATTCTGCTTTTTTTTGTACGATCGATTTTTTTCGATTTATACCCGAAAAGAGGGGGTGAATTTTTGGTTATAGAATAACTCGTTTATTTTCAATTTTACGAGAAAAATTGTTATAAACAAAGTTGTTTAAAATTAAATTTCCTACAATTCTGTTTTTTTTTGTACGCTCGATTTTTTTGTATTTATCCCTGAGAAGAGTGGGGGTAAACTCTTAGAAAAAATCGGAATCATAATTGTACCAAATAACATTTTTGAAAATCAGCAAAAAAAAAACAAACAGAAAAAATAATGGTACAACATCAATAATAAACGTGACAATACAATACTTAGGTTCACCCCCACTCTTCTCAAGGATAAATACAAAAAAATCGATCGTACAAAAAAAAAACAGAATTGTAGGAAATTTAAGTTTAAACAACTTTGTTTATAACAATTTTTCTCGTAAAATTGAAAATAAACGAGTTACTCTATAACCAAAAATTCACCCCCTCTTTTCGGGTATAAATCGAAAAAAATCGATCGTACAAAAAAAAAGCAGAATTGTAGGAAATTTAATTTTAAACAACTTTGTTTATAACAATTTTTCTCGTAAAATTGAAAATAAACGAGTTATTCAATAACCAAAAATTCACCCCCTCTTTTCGGGTATAAATCGAAAAAAATCGATCGTACAAAAAAAAGCAGAATTGTAGGAAATTTAATTTTAAACAAATTTTTTTATAACAATTTTTCTCGTAAAATTGAAAATAAACGAGTTATTCTATAACCAAAAATTCACCCCCTCTTTTC